TATGGGGAAATTTGCTTCGGGTTGCGACCAATTCGGGCTGTGACCAGAGTCACGGAACGAACTAAGTTCGTAACCCAAGGTACCACTGTAATCCACCATGCTGGTCCAGTGTGGGTTGGTAGATAGATGTTTTCCAGGTCTAGCTCTGAGAGACAGTGACTGGCCCAAAGTCACCCAGCTGGCTTCTCTACCGAAGGAAGCACTAGAACCTAGGTCACTCCCCCCTCCATACACTCTGCTGGTTGGTGTCTCTCTCTTTTCACACACACACACACATTTTTATCATTGCAAGCCAACTTGACTGTGGAAGGAACAAAAAGTAGGATAGAAATTCATTAAGTAACTAAATGAATAAATTCATGGAAAAGAAGCATACTTTCCCTCATCCACATCGGGATAGTTGTGCACAGGACAGAATCATAATTATTTTCTTCCGTTCTGCAATATTCCAGAAATTTCCTCCCATGCAGCAGTTATTGCTAATACAAGGCTCCCATCTGAATCAAAGAGAGTGTTTTGGGGGGGTTGTTTTGTTGAGCAGGGCATACTGTAGACAAGGGACTTTATATGAGTTTCACTGCTGTGTCTGGATTGGGTATATCTTAGATATTGGCCATGTCTAAGTCCCAAATAGTTGCCATTGACCTGGGTTGGATTTTCAGTTGTGGCCTTTTATATAGTGCAGCTTAATGTTTGTTATTGGAGTGTCATTATTAAGACAAATAACATCCGCTTAGCATATGTGGTTACATAAACAATGGCTGAACTTGCATCTTAATAACAATATTAAAAAAGGTTGCAATCATTCATATTTATATGAAGTATTGCGTCAATCTAAGGCATGGATTTAGAATGTTAAGGCCTTCATTCAACCCTCCCTCGATACTTTCTAAGTTTATTCTTATTTTCTTCACAGTAACACATTTCGGTATACTTTGGAAGCTACTAAATCCCTCCGTCAAAAACAAGGAGAAGGACCAATGACTTACTTAAACAAAGGGCAGTTTTATGCCATAACACTGAGTGAAGCTGGAGACAACAAATGCTTCAGATATCCAATCAGCAAAGTCCGGGTATGGCTAGTGTTGCATGGGATTGATAATGTTGGTTTGCTAAAGACTTTCAATGTGCGCCCATGTTTTCATTCTGCTGAAATGTGAATATAGTTATGACCACCATGACCTTAACAGAAGCTTAAGCTCATTCTTCTCCAAAAAGATTGTGAGTCAGGGACCTGAAAGGGAATTCTCAGTGCAAAATGTCACGGACCACTACACCTGTTATGGAGTGCTAAATTATTTTAAGTTTTGTCTGTTTATTTGAAATGTTGATGTTTTGTTTGGCAGTTTCAGAAACTTATATGGCAACTTTTTCTTCTACAAGATAACATGATAATGAGGAGGGTTGTGCAAAAGCTATTAGAAGTGAATACTTTGGAAAGTGCCCCTTCAAACCCACATCTTAAAATATCAAGACGGCTACATCTCTTTGAAGTTCAGTAGGGCCATTTTGAGACCCTTTCCCAGCTTTTGAGCATTCTTGTGTATGGACAGAAGATATATGGGCCAGTATTGCTTTCAGAACACCTGAAAGCATCAGTTAAAAACAGCTTATACTAGGAATACAAGCAAATAAAAATCTTTCATTGGGTAAATAAGGCATCATATTTAATGCCAAGCAAATCTCTTGGAGTATTTTATATGTAAGGTACCAGAAAGAAAAACACTCCAGAAGGTAGGGAGACCTGGAGAAAGATCTGTAATGACGATGCTAAGATTCAGGCACGCTTCAGGGGGAGAAGACAGTTCTTTTGATATCTATATCCCCAAGATGTTTGGAGCTCTAAACATGAGTTGTGGGTAATGGCAATCCACAGATTTCATAATTCTGCCATTCATTTACTAAGTTTTATAAGAAGGAATTATTGTGGTTTGTTATCTGGGAGTGGCCACACTTGTTTCTAATTTGGGTTGATTGAGTGCCAAGTGAGGCTGCCATTTTTGGTCAGTTGGCAGGGCTGGGACTTTTTTTCACTTGTTTTCTATCTAGCTGTTCAGAGCAATACTGGGCAGTTCGATCTAAACACCAGTTCAGTGATACTATGCGCCTGAAATAACATGGCTCTAGTCTAGGACATTATGGGAAATCAAAAGGGTGGACAGACTCTCCAACTGCTGAGAATGTGGGTAGTTGGTAGTTCAGCCAGGAATTCTTTGTCCAGTATGACCAGTCAGTAAGACAGTGGCGGGCTCTGCTTCACTGGACATGTACAAACAGATCTTAAACAGCTGTCCCTGGGGGATGCTTTAATATGGATTCCTGCAGTAAGGAGGTTATAGGACTCAGTAGACTTAATTGACTTTTTCAACCCATATTTCTGTAAATTGATTGCTTTTGATGGTAATTGTTGTTAGGTTTCAACAATGAGTTTCTTCCTCTGTTTCTCTTGACATGGGAGCCTGATTGCCTTATACTAAACAAGGTACTTTAAGAAAAAAAATTGAGACATGACTGGTTGATGGAATCTAAAAGGAGAACAGTTATGTTCCTTAGCATTTCAGTTTATTGACCATAACCATTTGATGTTTGTTGTGTGGTCTTTCTAGAGTGTGATCATGGTTGTATTCAGTGAAGATAAAAACCGGGATGAGCAGCTGAAGCACTGGAAATATTGGCATTCACGACAGCACACAGCTAAACAGAGGGTCTTGGACATTGGTGAGTGATAAGCAGACCTGTGACTCCCATCTTCACTGACGCTTTTCATTACCTTGGAGACTTGCAGCTGGGGAACCAGAATAGGCATGTCCAGAAATGAAATTTATTCTGAAGTGAGAATAGCCAATTGGTAAACCCCGTCTGGTTGTGGTATGCAACAAGGCTGCACTAAAGTATTTTTCACAGTTGGTGCAAACTCACGGTATGGGGCTTCACCGTTTGAAATATGTAATATTTCTGGGAGAATAAGTATTCAGTCTAAGCAAAGTCTACATGTTCTTCAAAACCTAAACTGAATTTATTTTATGTGTTAAATATTTTTAGGTGAACTAGTAATAAAAAAAAAAAACCTGTTATAAGAGTAGCAGAATAAGCAACTCATATGTTCAAAGTAAATTCAAAACTACAGATTCCAGCTTCCCAGAATTTCTCATCAGTTTTCTGTCTCCAAACTGCCCACTCAGATAACTTACTCTCTCTCATCACCATGGTAACTAGTCACACACATTCCCATAATATCTTTCCAACTGACCACTCCTACATGAGATGTGCTGTATTTGACACTAGTTTTTTACTGCTCCTGGTATCTTCTTGATGTGCTGGGCTGTATCTCATTAGGAATCCTGGGAGTTCCAGTCCAAGACATCTGGAGATATCTAAGCTAGGGAAGGCTGCTTTACATGTCCATCTTTCCTAACCCCCCCTTCTCCTCTTCTCCCTATTTCTAATTCATTTTCTTTCTCCATCTTTCAAAATAACTGACAAAAGATCAAAAGTGATTGGTGGTATAGGTCCATCTATCACTTTATCTCCTGTGGTTACCCAACATGGTGGTCCTAGCCCACCAACTGAAAAGCAGAGTTTTATTAAGGCTTTTAAAATAATTAGATTAATTAAAATTAACTAATTTTCAGGCTTTTGTAAAGTTTTGGCCTATCCAGCTCAGGGAGACGATGGCATGATGGAATTGCATTGCAGCATCACATACATGTACAAAAGGAGCAGACCTTGCAACACAATGGCATGACGCTGCCTTCATCATTTTTATGAAAGCCTTTGATCTTGTGAAGACCTGGCCTACCATCTGTCTTCTTGGTACTGAAATCCAGGTTGGGAGCATTAGGGTCAATGGGCCATCAGCCCTTCTTCCTTTTCCTTGCCAGGTGGAAATACTTCATAAGGGAGCAGTGTTGTACTCCCTTTGTCTTTTAAAACAAAAAGTTTCCCATAGCTGTTCAGCATACCCGACTGCTCACACAAATCATACTTCTTATTAGAAAAGATTTATAAGAGATTATAAGATTTATAAGAGATTACAGGCTAGTATTAACTATTTGAACAGTGTTATTATAGGCTATACTCTCTTTTCCTTAGTCTTTCTTTCTCTCTCAGGGGTAATCAGCTTTTCCTGATTCTTCTGTTCTTTTGCCAGAGTTTAACTTTCACTTATGCTGATATTAACTGGACACAGCACATGGAGGACTACTTAGTTCCTTTTAGGGCAAAACTGTTCCATTTACTCAATTGTGCCAATGCAATATTCCATTGTTTTGTATAAAATAGAAAGTTCCCATCGATGGAATCTGCTCAGACCTCTCTGTTGCTCAGTTGAAGAGTTAAACTCTCTATCTTTTGTGTTTTTACCTGGTTTAGAATCATAGGAATTTTGGACGTCATCTGGTCCAGCCCCATGCTTAATGTATAATCTGTGTGTAGAATGTGAGTACAGTATCTCTGACAAAGCTATTATGGACATCCACTCTGACAAGGGAGAACCCACCACTTCTGGGGCACCCTGTTCTTTTCTTGAACAGCTCTTGTTCTTAGCAATTTTCTCCTAAACTTCTCTGCAATTTTACACCAACTGATTCTAGTTCTGCGTTAGGACAGCTGCTTGAAGATTGCTACCAAATCCGCCCTCCCCCAATCTTCTGTTCTTCAGGTTTGTCATGCCGTATTGCTTCTGATATTTGTACAAGAATTAGGGGGTAAGAACCTTAGCAAAATACTATAAGGAGAAGATATTCAAACACTTAGGCTCTATGTTTGGAGTGTATTTACATTATAAAGATAAAAATCTGTTTAGCTGCCTTTCTAGAAACATTTTACTTAGGAGAGGGCCACTGCTGAGCTGTGACTTTAGGAGGAAGCAGATGGAGACTGCATTGTCAATCATTTATCCATTTTCCAAGAAGCCTTCAAAAACTGCGGTCTTTGAAAAGGCATAGGGATCTCTTTTCCGAAATAAAGGGAATGGTAAGCAAGTAAAAAGAAAAATGCACCTAAACACTAAGAATTAAGATCAACAATAAACTACCACATTTTATGAACTATCAAAACATTATTACAAAAAAAAAAAAAAAAGGTTTCTCATAGCATTATCAGATAAAAATCAGTTCAGTTACCAATTATATAGTTTAACCACTGGTCAAACCTGAAAAGTCACCTGCATCAGCATATTATGAATATTGAGCAATGGTTAAGGCACATTATCTGGGGAAAATTGCCTAAAAAAAGAAGTACTTTTAACAGGAAACCTTCATTGTTTTTGTTTGCAAGTTTTTGGGCAAAGTGCCCCATCTTTCTTCTCAGAGGGCTTTCGTGCGGGCACTTGCAGGTTTCATGCCAACAGATGACAGAGAAGTTTTCCATATCTTGTTTCCCAGGCATTTTTTGAAGAAAGAATTCTCACACTGAAACATGTAAAGAACATGTTTAGATCACATATTTAAATCAACATGTAAAGTAAAGGACATATTTAGATCTCTCCTAAGTTTGATGTTATCTCAAATCCAAAAGAAGGCTTTGGATCCAATGGATTAATATTAGTAAATAAATTTCTGGTTTAGGATTATTAATTATTTAATGTGCATAACACTAGGTGTAGGGGTGGTTTTGAAAAATGATGTGCTGTTTCAGTCTCCCAAGCTAGTTTCCTAAGTACCATCTTTCCTTAAAATAAATTCCAACATATTCTTGAACTATAATTCTCATAACCCTCATGTAGGGGGTTCTGAATTGTTAGAGTTGTTGCCCAACAATGTTAGACAGTCACATGACTCAGAAAACACTGTTCTTGTGATAGTTTGATGAGCTCTGAATAAGTGTCTAATGATTTTCTTTTATACTGTATCTATAGAATTTTGGAAAATATTACAATAATTATATGAATCAGAAAGAGTGGGTGTGGGTCTAATAATACTATGCTCTGAGATATTCTCACTGCCCCCACCTAGAATAGGGTTCTTCCTTATCACTATTCCTCCGTTCTACTTTTGTCATTGTGCACTGAGTTGAATCCATGAAACTGCCAAGAGAGCGAAGGGGACACTTGATCATATTGGTTGATGACATCTGGTGGCCCAGGATGGTGGTAATGTATCTATCCCGGCCCTCCTTTATCTTTTGGCAGCTGCACTGTCTCCTGTTAGGTTTCCAGGTGAAATTCAAAGTGCTGGCTGTCACCTTTAAAGCCCTACATGGTTTGGGACTAGGTTAGTTGAGGGACTGCCTCTTCCTGGTGATTTCTGCCTACCCTACCAAATCTGGCAGAGTGGACATCCTCCAGATACTCTTGGTGATACAGTGTTACCTGGTGGCCCCCGGACATGTGCCTTCTCTATCATGGTGCTTGCCTTATGGAACAGCCTTCCCCCCCTCCCAAGATTGGGATGGTCCCAACTCTGTTGGCTTTCTGGAAGGCCATGAAGACTTGTTTCTTTTTCCAGGCATTGGGGCCAGGATGTTAGCAATAGGAGTTCTGGCATGGGTGCCTGTGATTGATGCCTATGAAGATTGTATTGGACCTCGACTTGCTTTATTTTTGTTTCGTTTTAATGGGAAGTTTTATTTTGCCTTGTTTTTGCTTGTTCGCTACCCAAAGTTTGGGTACCCATAGATGGGCAGCCGTATAAATTGGATATATATAGTAAAGTAAAAAAAGCCAGGGGAACAGGCAGTTTTAGAGAGAAGGCAGAAGAAGAAGAAGAGGAGGAAGAGGAAGATGTAGGGAAGGGGAGATGGTGTGCTCCCTATTGGAATTTAGGGTTTTACTTTATGATGTTAATCCTTGACATTATTTCTAATATTCCATCTAATATTCTTAATTATCCTGCAGCAGTAACTTAACTTGATAACACAGTTCTGTGTTGTGAAAGATGGCCCAATTTTTTTTCACTAGGTAGATTAAAAATCTGAAACACGGACATCTGGGAATCTTCCTCTTACAGAAAGCCAAATCTCTCATTTGAAAATTCCACAGATTTTTGTGCCCTCTGGTGTGTTCGACATTCCAAGAAGATTGTTTCGCTTGTCCGGACAGCTTCCCAGCCTTTCAGAAGTGTCTACACTGAATTCTTTCTTTATAGTCAGTCAGATTTCTATCATGTAAATACTGTTGAGAATATTAATGGTCTCCTGAATAGAACGTGTTTCATTTTTATAGAAAATGAAGGAGGGGCAAGAGAATGGGTAGAAATTTTCCACATGTTCATTATAGAAATATACCGTTTTGCTCGTGTGATGTTAAATTAGTTTAATTCTGTAACAATATCATTTCAGAAAGTTGATTTTTGGGTTTATATTATCCATGAATTTATTTTGAAAGTGAATGTTTAGAATTTTTAAAGAAACACCATAAGGGTTCTACTTTCAGAATATTTAGGTCACTATTCAAAAATTTGAAATTTCTATAAATCTAGTTTGATGAGTGTAAAGGAATCTCAGGGCATAGAATGTGTTGCAATCCCAGGGCAGATGATAAACTAGCAATCTCGAAATCAGTGTTTCTCAACCTTAGCAAGTTTAAGATGTGGACTTCAACTCTCAGAATTCCCTAGCCAGCATGGCTGGCTGGGGAATTTTGGGACTTGAAGTCCACATATCTTAAACTTGCTAGCATTGAGAAACACTGATCTAGACCATTATTAAGAGATCAGCAATGTATCATACAGAACATTCGTGTTCTTTCTTCCCTTCCAGCCAAACTAGTTTGGCACAAAACTGCATCATGGAAAGCTGCCCAGGGTGTGATAACTGTACTTCCTTCTTCAACCCATGAACAATTCATTTATTTGTTATATACCATTGCATTGGGAGTGATTCCCAATGGTTGGCAGTATAAATAAGCCATAAATGTACAATGGTCCCAGAATATGCAACAGTAAAACTGTAAAAATAATAAAAGCATAACAATAATAGAATTAAACGTAAAAAGAAAAGAGCAGGAATAGGCACTACCCAATCTAACCACCATGACATTGATTCTCAAAGCCCTTTTTAACAGCCTTTCAAACCGCAACTGCCACTACCACTTGAAGTTGTTTCTACAAAGTGGGGACCACTGTGGAAAAACATTGTGGAGGGAGTTGTTGAACCTCCCCAACCTGGACCAGCACACAGGCCAGGCCAGTTCCACCTGGAGATAACTGGAAGCCAAGGCATGTTGTGCTTTATAGGTTAAAACCAACACTTTAAATCAGGGGTCTTCAAACTTTTTAAACAGGGGGCCAGTTCACGGTCCCTCAGAATGTTGGGGGGCCGTATTATAGTTAGAAAAAAACATGGGGAGAGGAGGAGAGCCGCCGGACCCGGCATACCTGTCATGTAGAATAGTCCGGCTCTGCGATCTCCCTCCTTGTGCATTGCCCGCAGCTCCCGACACAGCCCCAACACTTCCGCTTCTGACAGACAGCAGTGGCGGCCAATCAGGCGGGCGGGCTGGATAAATGACCCTGGCGGGCCGTATCCAGCCTGCAGGCTGTACTTTGAGAAACCCTGCTTTAAATTGTATCTGAAAAACTACTGAGAGCTACTGCAGTGCCTACAGTGCAGGTGTCATATGGCTCTAGCTGCTCTTGCACATTAGCATGTAGGCTGCTGCATTATGCACGAACTGCAGTTTCTGAATAATCTTCAAAGGCAGCCCCACATAAAGAGCATTGCAGTAGTCTAATTTAATGGCGATGAGGCCATGTGTTACTTTTGTCAGGGTCTCCCACTCCAGGTGGTGCCTCTTCTGCTTCTTCTGTCATGCTATACTTGGCCTTGTTTTTTATGTTCTCCCTCTTCTACTCCTGGACTGTGCAAGAAGGTCTTGTCCATCCACCTGTTTGCCAATAGTGAATGTTTGTAATACAAAGAGAAAGGACAACTGGAGTCTCTGGTTATTTGTTTCAGTGGGATTTGCAAAAAATTACTTAAAGCTAAACATAGTTGGCATCTACAGTTGATTGGTGCCAGTGTAGAACCCCATTATTTCTTCTATAATTAACTCCCTCAATAAAATATTGACTAATAGAATGCAATCAACCAAAATTAAGCTCTAGCTGACATAATTAGGCTAATAAGTGGGAACCTGATTAATTTTTCAAGTACCTTTTTACCAAGTTTGAAGAATAGTTGTAAGATGGTTTATAAAATATTGGTGTCAGCAAACTGGGCCAGAACAGCAGTACTAAAATGAAAGTCATGAATAACAAGAAAATATACTGGAATGTAAGGACAATTGTCTGTATTTTATAAAAGCATCTGTGATTTGTTGTGTTGTTTGTTACAGCTGATTATAAGGAAAGCTTCAACACCATTGGAAACATTGAAGAAATTGCTTATAATGCTGTATCGTTCACTTGGGATGTTAATGAAGAGGCAAAGGTAAGACCCCACCCTGCCAAAAATGCATATATTTTGTAGGGTAACATGCAGAATTGCTCAGCAAACAGAACCTAAGGCAATATTTTGCATTATTGTGGGAAAAAATAGAGCCAAGCACACTATGTGTGCTACCAGAAGCTCCTGAGTAAAAGATAGGATGTACATCTACTGTATATCCATAAAAAATACATCCATTTTAATAATGGATCTTCTGCTGTTTAGAACTTATTAGTCCAAGATTGCCAATCTTTGGGATCTTTTAAATTACCCTTGTTTAAATACCAAATGTCAGTTCCAGTGAACTGTAACTTTGAAGCTATTTCAGAATGATATTTTGAAGGACTGCACAAGGTATCCTCTTTTATTAGGAACATTGGACCATTTAGCTTGAAAGTGTCTACATGTCGATAAATATGAAGTCAGGATTTTAGGAACGCTTGGTTGGTTAAAAAGTAATAGTTCCATTCATGCCTAAAACTAAAACATAATGGATGGGTTCAAGCATCACGCTAAGTTAAAAGCAAATATTATGGCTTAACAAGATCTGTAAAAAAAAGCCTTTGCGTTCCAGTAGTTTCAGAGAGTTCTCTTCCCTGATCTTACATGGGGTTTCCCAAGCTGAACTTTGGACTTTCTGGGTGCAAAGAATGAAGTTGGCATATACTTCATTTCAAGTTGCATAGGTATTTGTCTTTCCCACAGAGAAATCATCTCCATTTATGTAGTCCATTTGTATAAATTATTCACACTGTTAGCCTATTTTCCTGCACTTGAGATGAAGAAATAGGATAAAAGATCTACATGAAGTGGGTCTTCACTTTAATAGCAGATGAGGGTGACTTTGGGGAATGGCACATCATGCAGTAATACTTTCTAGGACTAACAGCGCATTGGCCTTAAGTGTACCTGGGGGATAAAGAGAATCACCCCTTGAAGTAAAATGGCCAGGTAATACTTTTGAAGCAACTCTTGCTGAAAAGCATTTGTCTGAATCAACTTTATCACTACCTGGAGATATAGAGCTGGGTTCAGGGGTGTCTGCAAGGGGAGAAGGTCAACATCTGCAAAATGGCAACCATTGTGTCACTTGGATCATGACACCATTTCCAGATTTAAACACAGTCCCCCTGCCCCACCCCACTGATACCCTTGAACCCAGCTCCAGATCTCCAGATATCAATAAAGTTGATTCAGACAAAGTCATATCAGTGATACTGCTTCAAAAGCAGTTGGCTGGGTTTTTCTTAGCTTCATGATATACTGTTCTGGAGGCTTCTCCAAAATTAGACCCAGAAACACAAAAAGCTGTGTCAAGTTCTTTTTAGTGGTTTACTTCCTTTTATCCAAGGCAATTCTCATTATACAGTATTATTGTTACAAACTGTGTAAATTCAGCATGAATTGGTGCTACAGTATTTTGTCTTGTTTGATTAAGTCAGTGTGGCTGAAAACACTTTACAGCTACTTTACAGAGGAAACCAGGTCTCAGTGGAATAGCGAGATCTTTCACTCAGAATAACTGTGATGGCATAGATATAAATGTAATATAGTGAACCAGTGCATTTCTCTATGGATGTTTTGATTGAATGATTCCAAGTTGCCTATTGTGATATCAGGAGCAGAAGAATGTTGCAAGAGGGAAATCCATTTGTTCAAAAAAGCATCCATAGCCCTGTCCACTAGAAATTGGACCACTAATATTTGCAGATGAAGGAACAATATCTCCTGGAATTACTGAGGCAAATATTCCATTGTGTAGTACAGGAATTGTACTTCTATACGTTGTACAATCTCTGCTTGACAGATGTTCTGAATTTCCATTCCCATTAGCTCCAGCCAGCATAATCAATGGAACATTTATGGACCATGCAACATGTTGGAAGTTGGTATTAATTGTCTCTTCTACAAGCTAAATATATGCACTTCCTTCCATTTTCCTCATAGGAACTAGTCTTCAACATTATCGTCGCTCTTTGAACATATGCTACTTTGTTGATGTCATTGTATTTGATGAGCATAGCCACCCTCACACCCAAATAGCTTAGGGTCCTCTTCCTTGTGATGCACTCTTGTACTACTGAGCCATATGTGAATCTGGCATCTGCATCGTATCAGTCATTCCTATACAGTTGGGACTCTTCCACAACCATGTGGGATAATACCACAGGAAAATGCTTTTCTCACAGAAATGAGTCTATAAATCAGATTATGTACATGGTTCTACTGTGTCTGCAGACATTCCCTTGATGCTCACCAAGCTCACTGCCCACCTGAGTTCTTTTTTGTATCATTTTAAGTAAAAAAATAATAATTAGGACAGTATGCTGCAACATCTCAGCCTTTACTTATTTGTAGCAATACCTTAGGGTCTTACTAAGATCCCACTGGGATGGCCCAGATCATCTTGGAGGACTTGTGTGCCTTGTGGCTATGATCATGAAGATCTCTCATGGTGGCTAGTTTCCATGTACACCCATCACACACTCTCCGAATCCTGAAATGCACTCCCTATCCTTTGCAGCTATCCTTTCTGAGTTGGTGCTGTCTGGACACCTTGACATATTGTGCAGTATCACTGGTTCTAAAACATTGCTTTAGATAGGCCTGTTCAACATATGGCCCACGGGTTGAGGTTAGGGTTAGGGCTAAATCTCCAAGTCTCACTACTGCTGCCAGCTCCGGCACTGCCCCAGCTCCACTAGCCACCAAACAGCAGACTGAAGCAGCCCGTAATGATGTTTAATTTATCAGTGTGGACCTTTCTGCTCTACAAGTTGTGCAGGCCTGCTTTAGATTACTTTAGTGGGATACGTGCAGCATGTTATGAATGCAGGCTTTCCAGAACTGATAAGAAGCTTGACTACAAAACAGAAAACCAGGTGGAACAGCAGAAGTCCCACAAACTCATGGGAACATGGTGGTGAGAAATTGGTTAGAGAAAAAGATCGTTATTTCTCCTTCCCTTCTACCAACAGATTGTTTGCCACCTTGTTGCAGAGTTAGTATATATAACTGCCCTCTAATATCAGGATCTGGTGTTACCAGAGAAGTATGCATGTGTATATATATAATCTTGCTGGGAAATACTTTTGGAAGGGTGCTGCTGCTGCTCGTTTCAAGATTGCAAGACTTAGTAAAAAGACTTAGTAGAATGTAGTTCCTGTGTCAAAAGAAACAGTTTTAGGGAATGTCTCCAGCATGTAGCTGCTGAATTGAGAGTTCCTGTATCAATTTTCCACAGCAAGATTCAGATTCAGTGGATACTGAGGCTGATTAGTTCACTAGAACATAATTGTCCTTCAGATCTTTGGGTGTTGTAGCCCTTTCTAACCAAGCTTCAACTGTGCATGTCAGTGAGAAAGAGAAAGGGATGTATATTTCATTTTCTTAGAATAATCTTAATACAACAACATTTCTGTTAATGATTGGTACTTTAAAAATGTGGATTAAAACTAGAAACTATATATAAACCCAATAATCAGAATATTTACTTGAGATTGCACTTCTTTAAATCACATTTAAAATAGAATGTCTTACATAATGCACCATGACTGTAATGTCTTCAAGAAAGGCAGTATATACACATGATTGAACAGGTGTGTGATCGGCTTTTGCAGCAAATTGAATTTTTATGTAGTTGCTGGGGCGTGGTGCAGGGTTACAGGAGCTGCTTAAATGAAATGTAAACATTTGCTGGAGACGTTGGTATTGAGCTGAAACAAAGGCGTTGACTTTGCATGGAATTTATAAGGAACGGATGTCCAAAAAAGCTATAAAAGCTGTGCTAACTCTGCACAAAGAACTTGTATTTATTTAATGCCTACTCTGGCCTGTGTCTAGTATTCAGAACTAACTACATAACATAAAAATAAATAAATAAAAGGTTAAAAATATAATTGATACATGAATTCGTTGTACAATTAATGCATTAGTAATAGGATCCTTTTATGGCATGGAGCTCTCTTGAACTGAACATTATTCTCTCTCCTATAAATAGGTTTCTTATTTTTAAACCATAAGGTTATTAGGACTATAACAAGCTACCTTACACTAGACAAATCTTCAGAGTCTATGGACGTTGTTGGTATCAGGCCTTTGAGGTGGGCCAAGTCAGGAAACAGGTTCCACAAGTTTGATAATGGATATAATAACAGAATCATCAAAGCCTGACAGTGCTTTCCCTTCCCTCCCTCTTATACTCCAGGAAATTAGGGGGAATATAAGAAGCTACCTTACACTAAATCACTAGTGTAAATTGTGGTATTTCTCTGTAATGACCTGTGTTATTGCCTCTGGCTGCCAATAGCTTTGCCAGATCTTGTACTTCTGCATCTCTGTCTAGCTAAAACTATGTCATTGAACAAACCAAGAGCTGAATCACACTGCTCAACGGAACAAGAAAATACTTGAGCCTAGATTGTTCAAATTATCTAGGACAGGTTTTCTCAACCTTGGCAACTTGAAGACGGGTGGACTTCAACTCCCAGAATTCCCCAGCCAGCAAGGAACCCTCATCTAGGATATGTTATCTGCATCCAAATATCTGTTTCCGGTATTGTGTCCTTAAGAGAGGCTTCCTCTAGTCCCAACCAGGATGTGGTCCCAGCTGCATTTGGGCCCTGATGATGACTTAAGATAGAGGCTTCTTGGTAATGGCACACCAAACTGGGAATCTCCTCCTCCCCAGGAAAATGCAGTTGGTCCCCACATTGACAAGTTTTGACAATGCTATACATTCAGACACTTTTCTAGCAATATAGCCCAAAGACAAATGTATTACTTAAATCAAGGGGTCGTTGTACCATTACTCTTAGTAGTTTATGTATGTTTTACTTTGAGGTTTTACTTTTATTTTATTCACTATTTTGGAATATTTTAAACTAAAACTTCCATCTTCCTTTGAAACAAGTTTTGATTATTGATTTCTTGCTCTTCAAGCATAATTTTAAGGGCAGTTCTGTACGGATCTTCATAAATCTTCATTAGAGAATATATGAGAA